CCCTAGCCCCGATCCACCCCACTCCTCCCACGATTCCGCCCCCACGTCTCTCTCGGTCCCTCTGCCCCCCCGATCCAGATCGAGGGGCACAGACCCCGGCGACCGTGCCGCCCGCGCTCGGAAGCAGACGCCCATCTCGGCGCTGCCCCTCGCCCTCCTCCCCGGAGCCCCTCTCGCCGCGACGCCCCTGCCTCTGCGTCGACCTTGGCGAACGCCGCCGGCGCCGCGCCGTTCGCTACCGTCCTCCTCATCCCGCTGCTCCACCGGACCTCCCCGAGCCCTCTGCCTAGACCCCACACTCCCGCGGTGAGCTTCTGTGTCGAACGCGCCGTCACCTGCCCTCTCTAGCCGCCCGTAGCCACTACCCCGACGAAGCCCGAACCACCGCCGCCTCGTTTGGTCGCCGGCGCGTCTCCGGTGACCTTTTGGTCAAGGGCCCGTGTGCGTTGTCCTCGCACGCGCGTAGAGCATGCCCGAAGCTTTAGATTGAACTACTGTGGGCTACATCGCCGTTTGCGTCGTCGCCCGAAAACTTGCCACCGCGGACCTCGTCGCCGACCACGATTCCGGTTGCCCCCGCACCAACCGATGCCACAGATCGACGGGACGCGTCCTGCCCGTTCGAACATGACCAAGAACGCGCAAAACAGGGCACTGCAGCGTGATTCCGGCGATCGCCGGGGTTCATCCGCCGCGCGCAGGCCCGCCGGAGCAACTCCGGTGGCGCCGCTGACCTGGCACCGTGGGCCCCGCCTATGTGCCACTGCCTGCGGGCCCCAGGGCTCTAGTTGACCATTTAACAAGGGTCAACGCTGATTGGGCAGGCCCTTTGTCTATGACACCGGGGCCCCATGCCCCTGTTAAAAAAAAATTAAAAAGAAATGAAAATGTGATTAATAAAATCATTAATTAGTAAAATAATTAAGTTAATTAATCATGTTTAGATTAATCTAATCAATTAGTTAATTTAATTAAGCAGTAATCAATCAGCTAAACCCTACTTAAACTAAAAAGTGTATGACATGCGGGACCCACACGTAGTTGACTCAGTCAACTGCGCAGTTGGCTGCTGACGTCAGCATGTTGTCATGCTGACGTCATCTTTTACTATTCTGGATAATGTTGAGATAAATAATTAAAGAAATCCTGAAAATGATTTAAATCTTTTAAAATTAATAGAAAATAAACCGTAGCTCCGATGAAAAAACTTTGTACATGAAAGTTGCTCAGAACGACGAGACGAATCCGGATACGCGGTCCGTTCGTCCGCCACACACCCCTAACCTATCGAACCCGCAACTTTTCCCCTCCGGCTCCTCTGCCCGAAAACACGAAACACCGGGAATACTTTCCCGGGGGTTTTCTCCCCCTTCACCGGTATCACCTACTACCGCCTTAGGGCACACCGAACATCGCGTATTGCCTTGTTATATTTTGTGATGCTTTGTTTGCTCTGTATTCATTATTTCTTCCCCCTCTTCTCTCCGGTAGACTACGAGACCGACGCTGCTGTTGACCAGTTCGACTACGGAGTTGACGACTCCTCTCTCTTGCCAGAGCAACCAGGCAAGCCCCCCCCCCTTTGATCACCAGATATCGCCTACTCTTCTCTATATTGCTTGCATTAGAGCAGTGTAGCATGTTACTGCTTTCCGTTAATCCTATTCTGATGCATAGCCTGTCATTGCTGCTACAGTCATTGATACCTTACCCGCAATCCTAAATGCTTAGTATAGGATGCTAGTGTTCCATCAGTGGCCCTACACTCTTGTCCGTCTGCCATGCTATACTACTGGGCTGTGATCACTTCGGGAGGTGATCACGGGCATATACTATATACTTTACACTGTTACATTACTGGTGATACTGTTTGGAGATGGGGGCTGAAGGGGCAGGTGGCTCCATCCAGGTAGTGGTGGGCCTGAGTTCCCGACGGCCCCCGACTGTTACTTTGTGGCGGAGCGGCAGGGCAGGTTGAGACCACCTAGGAGACAGGTGGGCCTGGCCCTGTTCGGCGTTCGCGGATACTTAACACGCTTAACGAGATCTTGGTATTTGATCTGAGTCGGCTACGAGCCTATACGCACTAACCATCTACGCGGGAGTAGTTATGGGTATCCCGACGTCGTGGTATCAGCCGAAGCACTTCAGACGTCAGCGACGGAGCGGCGCGCACCGAATTGGACTGGAACGCCACTAGGCTAGGTCTGCTTTCGGCCGCGTACGCAACGTGCAGGTGTGCTATGGGCGATGGGCCCAGACCCCTGTGCGCTTAGGTTTAGACCGGCGTGCTGGCCTCTCTGTTGAGCCTAGGTGGGGTTGCGACGTGTTGATCTTCCGAGGCCGGGCATGACCCAGGAAAGTGTGTCCGGCCAAATGGGATCGAGCGTGTTGGGCTATGTGGTGCACCCCTGCAGGGAAGTTAATCTATTCGAATAGCCGTGATCTTCGGTAACAGGACGACTTGGAGTTGTACCTTGACCTTATGACAACTAGAACCGGATACTTAATAAAACACACCCTTCCAAGAGCCAGATACAACCGGTGGTCGCTCTACCTCAGGGATATGAGGAGGGGATCGCCGGGTAGGATTATGCTATGAGATGCTATTTGGAGATGCTACTTGGAGGACTTCAATCTACTCTCTTCTACTTGATGCAAGACGGTGGCTGCGAGAAGCGTAGTCTTCGACAGGATTAGTTATCCCCCTCTTATTCTGGCATTCTGCAGTTCAGTCCACTGATATGGCCTCCTTACACATATACCCATGCATATGTAGTGTAGTTCCTTGCTTGCGAGTACTTTGGATGAGTACTCACGGTTGCTTTCTCCCCCCTTTTTCCCTTCCCTTTCTTTCTGGTTGTCGCAACCAGATGCTGGAGTCCAGGAGCCAGACGCCACCGTCGATGACGACCCCTACTACATCGGAGGTGCCTACTACTACGTGCTGCCCGCTGACGACGACCAGGAGTAGTTTAGGAGGATCCCAGGCAGGAGGCCTGCGCCTCTTTCGATTTGTATCCCAGTTTGTGCTAGCCATCTTATGGCAACTTGTTTAACTTATGTCTGTACTCAGATATTGTTGCTTCCACTGACTCGTCTATGATCGAGCACTTGTATTCGAGCCCTCGAGGCCCCTGGCTTGTATTATGATGCTTGTATGATTTTTTTTTATTTGTAGAGTTGTGTTGTGATATCTTCCCGTGAGTCCCTGATCTTGATCGTACACATTTGCGTGCATGATTAGTGTACGATTGAATCGGGGGCGTCACACCATCATCATGGAGCTTCTTCATGCGTTTTAGACTAATGTGTCCAAGCCGGCAATGCCAGAAGTATGTCGGATTTATCTCATTGGGCTTATGCCTCTTGACATTCACGTTATAGACCGGTTCCTGTTCTAGATTCAATATAAATAACCCATCAACAATGGGTGCATAGCCGTGGAACATACCATTCAAATAAATCAAACAATAATTGTCCTTTAAATTGAATTCATAACCCTGACTCATCAAGCATGAGGCAGAAATAATGTCCCGACTAAGTGCAGGAATGTAATAACAATTATTCAATTCCAAAATAAATCCAGAAGGAAGCTGGAGCTGCATCGTGTCGACCTCCAACGCAACAACTCTTGCTTTGTTGCCGACCCTGATGTCAATCTCCCCTTGTGCCACACGCCTAGTTCTTACCAGCCCCTGCATCGAGTTGCAAATATGAACAACCGATCCGGTATCAAATACCCAAGAGCTACTAGGTATGTCAGCAAGGTAAATGTCTATAACATATGCAACAAGTGTACCTTTGCCTGAAGCAGCATTCCCGGCCTTCTTGCCATGCTCTACAAGCCACTTGCTACAGTTCCTCTTCCAGTGACCAGTTTCCTTGCAATGATAGCAAATGGTCTTTGAGTCCGGTCCAGACTTCGGCGCAACGGCGGAGGTTACCATCTCCGTGCCCTTTGCCTTATCCTTCTTCTTAGACCAACTCTTCTTGAACTTAGCCGATTTCTGTAGTCGGAGCAGCATGGGGAGGCGGCGACTCGACGAGGCTCGGGGCAGTCAGAGCAGTGTAAGGAGGCAACGACTCGACGGGAGCTTGGGAGGAGCACGAGAGACGACTTCTCTCAAGAATCCAGATTCTGTAATATAGTCGTTGTTGCGATGAGAGAAATTGTAACAATGAGCCATTTGCAAAATGATGATAATGGGGCACGTGGCGTACAGGGATGGCGACAGACACGGGGCTGAGATCCGCAGGCGATCTATATGGTTTTTCAAAAACAAATTGTCAGACTGATGTCCAACGCTTGTTGCAAAACTGACTCCAAAAGAGTTTTTTCATGTAAAAATCCCACGGCAATCCGCTGCAAGGCTGCAACTTCGCTGGCTTCCTTGGCAAACGCTCGAACACCTCTACGGCAAATCCTCTCCGCCGATGCGCGCCCTCCTCTCCGTCCGCCTCCGGCGCCTGCTCTCTCTGCCCCTAAGAGCGAGGCCCTCCTCCTCCTCCTCCTCCTCTTCCTCCTCCGGCGGAACCCACGAGATCCCCACCCTCTATTCCTTCCTCCAGCCTAACATCTTCGCGCCGCGCCCCAGGCCCCAACCCCCGCCGCCACAACCACATCCCTCACCGGACCCCGCGCCCAAAGCCCTGCCCGTCGCGGACGCCGTCGCGCTCGAGGAAAGCCTGCTCGCCGCCGTCGCCGAGGGCCGCTCGGATGACGCGTGGCTCGCGTTCAAGTCCCTGGCGGCGGCCTCCCTCTCGCCGTCGCCTCCCGCCGCGGCGGCCCTCGTATCCCACCTCGTCGCGGACAACCACCGCCTTGGCCTCAAGCGCGCCTTTGCCGCCGCCGTCTTCCTGCTGGAGAAGAGCCCCCATGCCTCCCCCCTCCTGGAGGCCGCGCTCGGGGCTCTCTTCTCCTCCCTCGCCGCGTCGGGCTCCGCCGCCCCGGCGCTGGCCCTCGCGCGTGCTCTCCTCGGCTGCGGGCGCCGCCTGCCGGCTTTCTCCGCCTGGGGCCTTCCGCTGATAGACCTCACCCGCGCTGACACAGCCTCCTTTGCGGCCTTCTTGAAGGTGTTTGAAGAAGCCTGCAAGCTCATGGCGGAGGAGAAGTCTCCGGCTGTGGTAGCGGTCATGCGACCTGATCTCGCGGCCTGCAATGCTGTTCTTGATGGATGCTGCCGCAGGCTCGGCTCAGTCGCAGATGCTGAGAAGGTCTTGGAGATTATGCCAGCTGTTGGGGTGTCGCCAGATGTGGAGAGCTTTGGACATCTTGCATTCTTGTATGCGTGGAGAGCTGTTCCAAGCCGGGTCGATGAGCTCGATAAGTTGCTGGAAGCTCTGGGCTTCAGCAAGAAAGGGTTTTTCAAGAATTTAGTGAGTGGGTATTTGAAGTCTTGCAGCTTTGAGTCAGTTTCCTCAATCATACTTCGTGCGGTGGAGGAGAGAAGAGTTGGGGATGGCAATCCATTTGATGATGAGTGCTACACTGAGGTCGCACAATGCTTTGTTGATAATGGAAGGATCAGGGAACTGGCTCAGTTGATCTTCCAAGCACAAGAGATTGAGTTGACACATCAATTGCCAGTAGTTGATGATTCTGTTGGGTTTGGGATTGTCAATGCTTGTGTCGGACTTGGTCTATTGAACAAGGCTCATAACATACTTGACGAAATGACTGCCCAAGGAGCCTCTGTGGGGCTAGCTATATACTCCCCAATCTTGAAAGCATATTGCAAGGAGCAGAAGACTGCAGAGGCTGCACAGCTCGTGGCGGAGATTAGCGCAGCAGGGCTACAGCTTGATGCTGGCAGTTATGATGCTCTTATTGATGCTTCCATGACAGCCCATGATTTCCAGTCTGCGTTTGCACTTTTCAAAGATATGAGGGAGGCGAGGCTACCAGATCTTAGGACAAGCTATCTTACTATAATGACAGGCTTGACGGAGAACAACCGGCCTGAGCTCATGGCATCATTCTTGGATGCAGTGGTTGATGACCCGAGAATAGAGATTGCTACACATGATTGGAACTCTATAATACATGCCTTTTGCAAGGTTGGGAGGTTAGAGGATGCTCGAAGAACATACCGAAGGATGCTATTCCTGTTATATGAACCAAACAATCAGACATACCTCTCACTTATCAATGGGTATCTCTCAGCAGAGAAGTACTTTAATGTGCTCATACTATGGACAGAAGTGAGGAGGAAGGGGGCTGATTTTAACCACGAGTTGATTGATGCCTTTCTGCATGCTTTGGTCAAGGGTGGATTTTTTGATATGGCAATGCAGGTGATTGAGAAGGCACAAGAGTTGAAAATATTTGTAGATAAGTGGAGGCACAAACAAGCCTTCATGGAAACCCACAAGAAGCTAAAAGTGGCGAAGCTGAGAAAACGCAACTTTAGGAAAATGGAAGCTCTGATCGCATTCAAGAACTGGGCGGGTCTTAACTCATAACATTTTAACCTATCATGCGATTCCTCGCTGAATTTGTGGCAGTTCAAAGTGGCGAAGCTGAGAAAGTGCAACTTTAGGAAAATGGAAGCTCTGATCATGTTAAAGAACTGAGCTGGTCTTATTTCATAAGATTGCAACCTATCATGTGATTCCTCACTGAATTTGATCACACATGCTTGTGTGAGATGACATTCCAAATAATTTTGAAGCTGTAGCAAGCAGCAAACCTTCAGAGATGAACAAGTGTAGGCGATATGCCAATATGTGATCATTGATATGTTTGCAACAAGGTTAGGAAGCTGGTGCATTTTTGTCCTCCTATTTTGTTTCTAGGTATAGGTATTTTACTTTACTGGCTAACTTGACTTTGTACTACTTCGTTAACTAGCCTGTTAACCTCCAAATCCCATGTAAAATTCTTAAGTTAGTGAATAACAAGTTTCTCCTGAAATGCTTCTCATTGAATGCATTTACTGCTGCGGTTATAAAACTATGATATTTTCTGAAAAGTTTATGTTCGTTCGGTCCGTTAAGCTACCCTTGTAATGTTTTCACTCCTGCTTACTGTTACATGGAAGCGAGCTTTGTTATTTCAAGTCTGTTATTGAGCCCCTGCCTAAAGTAGTTATATAAAGTATGGACTGTAGTGCAATTGAGAACTGGGGTCTCCCTTAGTGCGGAAAACGGGAAAAGTGAAGGCAGGAATAACTACCTGAAATCAGAATTGGTTAAACATCCTGATATTAAAATGCTGATTATTCAAACTTGAAGTTGCCAGAGTTGACAAAACACCACAATATTAAAATTTGAGTTTATTCTAAAACTGAAATGTGAAGCATATACGGGTCACCAGTAGAACTTGTGAGATTGGGATTTCTCTATAGTACATCTAGCAGGGGAGCTGTATGCCAACTTTGTGTAGTTAAAGGTTCTCAAAACCCTAAAACAGTATCGTGCAATGCCAAATCAACAGGAAAAGTGGGGTTTAAAAACAGCACCCATCAAATAAAAGGCAAATTAGGTTATAAAATGGCATCCATTTGAACTGTTATACTCGAAAGAAGGGGCACTCTCCACTATGCCACGTTGAAGTTGTGCTAAGCAAACATTTTGTAGGATTACCTACTGCACTGTTCTGTACTGTTCTGATATTGAATAATTAATATCCCCTTAATTGTATGCTTGAGGTCATCGCAATTTCTATTGCTTTGCTAATGTTGGATCTTTTAAGGGTAATGTTGACTTGGAGCAGTTTCACACGGAAGACACCTATAGTACCAGGCACAATTGTAGAAAAGAAGGAACACAGTGCACATAACATAAACGGGTGTTCAAGTTATTGATAAATCTTCACCTTGGAAGATAACCCTTCCTGACAAGTGAGTGCAATGAGCTTATAAATTTCTGTTATTAACACCTAATGTTTAACTTTTGCTTTGTCAAGTAGGACCCAAATCCAAAAATTTACAGAAGAGCTAAAGAGTAAATGTAAGTAAGCACTGTACAGCCATTTGCTAAATCAGTTGCGAAACAACGCTTCATGCACACAAAAGAACATGATCAACTGCTCCGTGAATGTCAATGAGTTTCCATTATATTCTTAATTGATTAATCCATCTTTCTCTCTCTCAAGCTACCATGTCAAATCTTTCATCCATGATCTTTATATATGGATTTGTGAATCTTGTGACAAGGCCAGAACCTATATATACATAAATATGGATGTATATATATTGCCTGAAAAATCACTTGCTATCCTTTGGGGAGCTGCAGATGTACGAGACTTTGAAGAATACAGAAATGCTGGCAGCTTTATTGGTGGAGTACAAGCAAATATTATGCGATACACTTGGTGCCCGCCTTAAAATAGACGGTGACTTGCTTCAGCCCTCCAAGTTATTGAACTGGTGGTATATTCTATCTGATATGCATGCAATGGTAGTAACAATGTGCTATTGTGCAGAGTTTTCTTTTATGTTGCTATATGAAAACCTAAGCCTTAGTCTGTAGTAACCGAAAGAGAACCATTATGCTGGATCTGTATCATGTTCTTTTGAAAATCCAACACATTCACTGAACTGATGTTTTAACATGTCAATAAGAATTTCATGAACATATTATTAAAACAAGTTTTTATAACAACAACAACAAGAACAACAACAGCAACAACAACAACAACAACAGGTCTAGTTGTTGAACCATTATTACAACACAAGTTTTTAATATAAGCTGAAAGTTGCAGAGAGTAAAGAAAACCTGACCATACATAGGCCAGGGTCTTTTCTCGATAAAGACAAGTCTAGTTCTTAAACCATTATTACAGGTTCTTTTATTGTAAATAGAAAGTCGCAAGTAGTAAAGTAAATATAACAATATACTCCCTCGGTTCCATAGTAAGTGTCGTGGTTTTAGTTCAAATTTCAACTAAAACCATGACACTTATTATGAAACGGAGGGGGTATATTGCAGTAACGCCAGGAGATCGAAATGCAGTTTGACAGACTTGCACCAGCATCGCTTCTCCCCTTTCCGCCCCTGTGCAAATAACAGGCCGTCATCACCAAATTACCGGGAACTAGATAGGTGAGGACTAGTGGAATTTAACAGGAAGCAGAATTACCTGGGTACATTCTAGATGAAATTGTTGGGGGGCTGCCTCCTATAGAAGATGGGGTGGCTGCTGGTCAGAGTCTTCTTGATGGTAGCAATGTTTTCTGTCATCAGACCGACGGCCGTGGACGCGGACCTAGGATACAGGCCGGTGCCACGAGCGAGCTTGAGCATAATCTGGAACCCCACGGTCACAAGAGTTGCTCCACCCTCGCCGAGGCCAAGGGCAGTGTCCTCGACGGGGAGGAGGTAGAAGCCGGTGGGGTAGAGGGACACCTTGTTGCTCTCCGCCGTGTCGCTGGGGCTCATGATCTCATTCATCAGTTGGATGTTGACTGGGCAGTAGACCATGAACGCGCCTGACACATCGTAGCTGCTGTTCTGGAGGATCATGATGTTGTCCCTGTTCTCCCCGGTGGGCGGATCCTTCATACGTATGTATACTCGAGTTAGTCGAGTGAGATATGCAAGATTACTGGAGGAGAAAGTGGCGATTCTTGGAGGAGCTGAAATTGGATGTGTTGGGTACCTTGAGATGCAGTATGGAGACAACATCATCAATTCCTCCTCCTACGCCTTTGCATACAGCGACTTCCTCCCTCACCGAATTACCGTTCACCAGCACATCCCACTGCGTGAGTAAAACATAGCATTAGTACACTACATACATGGCTAGCCGCTGAGAGAGGAGAACTGCACATGCCAAACATAACATGAGTGCATACCTTTGGGCGCAACAGGTTGTTCTTGAGCAGATCAAACGTCACCCTGTGCGGCACTGGCAGATGGAATGACGCGCACACGGACACGATGGCGGTGTTGCTGTCATCGTTGTTCCTCCTGTACGAGATCCTGATGTCGTCTTCCGTGCCAGCGCCACGCAGGATGGTCCATCCGCCCCCAGGGACGGCGGCAATGCCGCTGGCGTAGCCCGCGAGCAGGCCGTCCGCTATCTTCATGAGGGTCTTCCTCCCATTTGTGTTGCCTGAAACAAACCAATAGAAAACTTGTTTGTTTCTCAGGACATGTTCAGTTACAGAGTTTCAGGACTGAATATTTGCAGGTTCTAGCTAATCACCGTTCGAGGCGCTTTTGCTGACAACGAAGAGATCTCTCATGCGTGCGCTTTGTCGCACGATGCTCGACACCCAGCGCCTAGCTCCGAACATCAGTCCGCTCAAGCTTGGGCGGTAGAGCTCGTGAAGACCAGTATCATTCACTTGGACATGCTCTATGACAGTGACCTGCCAAGAAGGTTTCGGAGCGAATCAAACACTGGGTAAGGTGCCGATATCATACTGGTAGAAATTCATTTTACCACTCAAGTCTTCTTTACCATACCTGGCTGGCGTCGGAATTCAGGCTCCGAACTAGCACTCCTGATGGCATTTTGTGGCATTTGACAGTGCCGTCACCGTTGTCCAAAGACACATCAACGATGATCACTGTCCCATTTTGCATATCCCTGCAGCACCTCACGAATGTGCATTTCCTAGATGGCACCAGTGGTGATGGGAACACCGTCTCGACGGTCACCTATTGTTTTCAAGCAAACAGAAAGAAGGCAAACAAACTGTGAGTAACGAGGCAAACTGATTTCTCCTCAGGATATGCTTGTTTTTGTCAGTAATATAATTTTGTATTTTCTTTGGATACTCATGCCAAACATCTCTTGGCTAAAACATAGAGAAATGAAAGCATACATACCAGATGCATAGCCCCATTGTAGCCTGCACTGGTAGGCCACTTGTAAATCTTGGTGGTATTTGCACTGGTCAGAAGTCCAGGACAGAAAGATGTGTAGCACTCCTGCAGTCATTCAACAATGGGATCAAATTGTGTGCGTGACTTGGAAATATCATCAGTGACAAGATTTATAGGCAACTTACAGAATCCATGATGTAGTCCACAATCTGCTTGGCGTCCATCATGACCATGTCATCAGCACGAGTAGCCTCGGTCATGAATCCTAGTATCACATTTGCACTGCTTCTTGCGCCAAATGTTTGAGCATAAGCCATCTTGTTCAGCACGTCAAAGGAACCACCAGGGACAGGCATCCACAGAGGTCCGCCGGCTTCGGCCAGAACGACAAACTCGTGCATTGCACTTTGAGCGAGTTCAGCAATCGCATCCATGTCATTCTCTCTTCCAGTGATATTCTCCATGGATGGGTCAAGTTGAAAAGGACGGCTTGAACTTGGATGCGCTTCAGCACGCAGCTGTGAGAGCTGCCAAACGAAGAACACAAGATCAGTGTACATCGAGGTGCAATCATCTCGAAAGAGGACGGAAAATTAACTAGAGATGCAATCTTTGTAAGACTAGATTCCACCAAAGTTACTCCCTCCGTTCCGAATTACTTGTCACAGGTATGGATGTATCTAGATGTATTTTAGTTCTAGATACATCCATTTCTACGACCGAGTAATTTGGAACGGAGGGAGTACTTCAAATATAGGTACGTCTAGCAGGCATTGCTTTTAAGATACTAAAACTGGAACAAAATCTGCCGAATATTTCGAAGTTTAGAGAGAGTTGAGCTGATTGAAAATGCTAGAAGGGCTTGTTTATAGGTTTTATTTACCTGTTGCTTCAGTTGCTCGTTTTCCTGCCTTAGCCTCTGCACCTCCCCAGAGGGACTCAGTCCTGGTAAAGCAACGCAGGAGGGGCAAAATGAAGTCTTGGCTGCGGATGCAAGCCTCTTGTTCTCCTCCCTCAGCATCTCATTCTGCGCTTTCATCCTGTAGGTCTCTTCTTTTCCAGTCACATGCTGCAATTTGTGCCATGGAACAACTAGTTAGAACGATCACCACCATAAGCCTTCTGCATGTCAGGTCCTACCGTGCTACATGCAGTAAGTCTGTAGCTAATGATGTGAAGACATGACAATGTTTGCGTTCAAAAAAAAAAAGACATGACAATGTACAGTAGCAATAGTAGTTGATAGATGCATATATTGACCAACTGTGTCACTGAGATTTCACAAATTGAAGTGTTTTAGAACAGACCTTCATATGTGTCCTCTTGTTCTGAAACCAAAACCTGACTTGCTGCATCGTGAGACCTGTCGACTCGCTCATCCCCATCCTTTGATTCTCGTCAGGGTGCGCGCATATGCCGAAAAACCTGTTCATTCAAGAGAGGAAAATGAAAAAAAGAGGGATGCGATAAATTCATTAAACTAAATTTTTTGGTGGGAACCATACCCTTCAAGCACTTGGGTTTGCTGGGGGGTGAGCCTCTGCAGGCGCCTCTTGGGCTGTGACCCCTCGGCGCCATCTTGTCCATCGGAGTTGCCTTGTGATATGTCCAAGTCATTGTCGCGTGCTGGACGGTCCTGTTGCGGCTGTGGCATGCCGCATTCAAAATGGCAAAAAATTACGCTCCGTTGTAAATATTAAACAGCTTGGAAAAAGTAAATTTGGAAGATGCCAATTAGTATTTCTTGGGGATTTTGTCCTATGTGGGGCCTCATCATGCTTTGAATTGCCTCGGAATTTTCAGGTGGCACAGCACCATGAAATATGCTCTACAGTACCGCCAATCTTAACAGAGCAAGTGGGTCCAAGCTCCGGACATACGTGTATGCAAACATGTCTTTATGTTTGAAAACATCTGCAACGCATGCATAGTGCATCTAGACTCTAGTATCTATCCTTGCATAAAGGCAAAAACAAAAGAATGAAGTAGACTTTGGCTCGTAGGGAGCATGGTGAACGAAGCAAGGAAAACTCAAGCAAAGCACGATACTGGACAGACAAATTTCCCAATTTTTTCGAGGATGAATATTATTGATTTGTTATTTCTTCAGTACTACAAAATATGAGCAAACAATTGCAAAGGATGCAGACAAGATACGCCGTTATGTTTGGATGTAATTTTTATGTACCGCCTTTTCCATTCCGTGCATGTAGATCACCAGATCTGTAAAGTGTCTCCCAAGGAAAAGCTTTTGATTAAGAACTTGTTAGAACAACAAATGGGCTACAATAACCTCGATGACTGGACCTAGGAATTTACATAATTAGTGAATTGGTTACATGAACGATTCTCGGAAAAAAGTACATGAACATGAAGAACCTGGATTAGAATGTGAATGCATGTCAAAACAGATGATGGTTATTTGCTGTAACGAGCAGGATTGCACCCCCTCGCAAAAAAAAAAACCAAAAAAAAACCCGAGCAGGTTGCACCTCTAGCCAGGAAAACTTCATTCATATTATGTAGATCTATGGAAAACATGTCCTAGTTGATGTAAAATACAATAACAGATAATCCGAGGTAGCACTTCTGCGAAACTAGATGGAGGATTTGCAAGATATATTTCAACATCTCCTGAGAAATTCAAGCCCTTATCTACTCATGTTTCGTTAGATAATTTTTCTAAGAGCAAGACATGTTACAACTCTTTGGAGTAGCAAGAAAGCATGCAAGAAAACTTCCAACTAGTATTAGAGATGAGGGAAACAATTATACCGCCTTTCTCCTACGCCCACCATGATTGCCAGTCATCTTGGGCTCGAAAGATCAGACGCCCTCGCCAAGTTGATCTATCGACCAAATCAGAATCTATCCACACCCTATAAATTTCTCTAGTGTCTACTTCACTCGAATGTAGAGCACTAATGTGTTGTTTCCCCTTGTCTTTGCCACCTATATATAGCCATCCATATGGGCCTTACCCCTGGCCTGCACACTTTTTTTTTGCTCCAGTAGCTATTAACGCCTGTAAAAAAGAGTAGCTAATACAATGCTCCTGAATAAAGCGAATATATGGAAATCTTTTGGTTTAATTTTTGTACAATAAATTAGTGTGCTTATAATTGCACAGCCTTGCATGAGATATAATATGAGGAAAACAATTAATTGTTTCCAAATATACCCCTACCTCATTAAAATACAGGGTGGGGGAGTGGGCAGGGAGCAAAAAGGATGAAAATAGCCTAGGTGGTTACTATCTCTGGGTTTATTAGTCCCCATCATATTTTGGGTCAAAGTTTGACCGCGTATTTGACTAGCAAAATGTTAATACATGTCACAAAAAAATTATAGTGTTGGATTCATATTTGAATGTAGTTTTCAATGATATATTTTTTCTACGTATAACTTATATTTTATTAGTTAAAATCATGGTTAAAATATGACCCAAACAAAAGGACTAGTAAACCAGGACATATATTGCACATTAAAGGCACACAAGGCGGTGTATATTCTATTATTTCATGAACATCCATTTGACCTTCAACACATAAATTTGTGAATGGTGAGATGCAATGGTTAACAAAAGCAGACTTTGTAGTCAATAAAAGTAAACTAATGTAGACACACTTATTGAAGATAACAATTAGGGAATGATTAGCTAGCCCCACTTCACCCTTAGGATAACATCCATATTTGCAATAGAAGATGGTTTACATAAATCACTTTCCACTATCCTAAACTTCTAGCTTGTGTTTACACTCACGCCTGAGTGGGAAATATGTGTGCACATGACATGCGAGGTTATAGAAGGAGATTATATGTTCAATCAAAATACCCAAATTGATCAAGCAAAGGAAAAAAAAGGTGATATGCACGTTATATTGATAATGACACCACATATTTATGTACTTATAACCCGTTGATAATAGAAATTTTGGTTGTGGCTTGCTATGGTACACGAATAAACTTGCATCGATAAATCTATATTTATTGATGATACCATAGTCCTACTTTGTTAAATTTTTTTAATTTAAATTAGCATGGCTATGATATGATAGAGTTGCGCCCGGCCACCATAGCACAGTGATATTAGTAAGTTGTTGGGGTTGGCCCAGTGTGGGTGCGCCGACGCGCGAGGGCGGTGGGGAGGGGGGATTTGGATGGGGCTAATGTGGGCTACAGAGGGACCGGGAAGAGG